GTGTAATATTTTGGGGCCATAACCAAGTCCACCTGGAAGTTAGTTAGTAAGAAGGAAGGCAAAGAGAGTTAGATTTGAAGAGAATCTGATCAAAGTTATAAGATGACACGGGAAACTATCTTAAACTGGGTCAGACCATTGCTTCATCTAGCCCAGTATTGCTGACACAGACTGACAACATGTCTTCAGGGTTATGGGAAGGAGTCTTTCCAGCCTACCAAGAGATATAGGGGATTTAATCTGGGATCTTCTGCATGCAAAACTTGTGCTCAACCACAGAGCTCGAGGTAAGATTTTCTTGGCAAAAATAAAACTTTGAGGACAATGCCATCAGATTCAAAGGACTTTCCCCACTTTGCGCTTCCTCCTTAACAAGTGCTGGGAAACAAATCCCACAAATGGCAAGCCTTTCCAAATGCAAAGCCAGCAAAAAGGTGGAACAGCGCCAGCCTGAAACATTCTAGAACTTGGCAGCTATATCCTGAAGCTTCAAACATGCCCTGTGGGTGGCCATGGGTGTTGGCTGCAAAGCTACAAGCTGAGTCGTTTTGGTTCTGCAATTATATACGTGCAGCGTATGAAACTGCTAAGCAACTATGCAGCAATTTAGGAAAAGACAAACATAGCAGAAGCTATTTCATTTGGAAAAGAATTCAAGTACAGTTGGGCCTCCATTTCCATGGATTCTGCTCCCATGGAGTCAACTATCCATGGCTTTAAAATGTTCAAAACGAAAATTCCAAAAAATCAATGTTATATAAGAGATACCATTTTATTATGCCACTGAATATAATAGGAACTGAACATCACTGGATTTTAGTATCCATGGGAGTTCCTGGGACTAAACCCAAGTGGATACCAAGGACCCACTGTGCTCCAGTTAACATCCCAAAACATTGAAGAGCCATGACCAAAAAGTTAATGCACAGAACACATAACAAAATGATTTCAATCCACACAAATAATAAGATTAAAATATAAGACTACTAAAAGAACTGTTTCCCACACTGAATAAATGCCATTGTGCATCTCAAGTAAATGACTTTCCCCAAGTCTCCTCCATAGAAAACACTGGATCTGTAAATATTTCAAATGGATATTCTTCTTCAAGGACAGTAACAGAACAATTGGCCAAATGCTGAAAATGTGAAGTTAATATAGTTAATGAGCTGCGGTGGCACAATGGGTAAAACCAGTGGTTCTCAACCTGTGGGTCCTCAGATGTTTTGGCCTTCAACTCCCAGGAATCCTAACAGCTGGTAAACTGGATGGGATTTCTGGGAGTTGTGAGACCAAAACACCTGGGGACCCACAGGTTGAGAACCAGTGGGTTAAACCCTTGTGCCAGCTAACTTCTGACCTGAAGGTTGGCAGTTCAAATCCATGAGACAGGGTGAGCTCCTGTTTGTCAGCTCAAACTTCCCATGTGGGGGACATGAGAGAAGCCTCCCACAGGATGGTAACACATCTGGGTGTTCTCTGGCCAATGTCTCTGCAGACGGCCAATTCTCTCACACTTCTCAAGTCACTTCTAACATGATAAAAATATAGTTAATACCCTTTGTTTCTTGTAAAGTAACTGCTGTATTAGATAAGAGGAATCAGATTTGGGGGGAAAAAAATACTCACTAGCACTCAACACTTACATATCCCACCTGTCTTATATCAAGAGATAAAGGGGAGTTATTGCAATGTGTGTGATTTGTTAAATGTGTGTGTGTGTTTGTAAAGACATTCAGCACAGAGTCATTCTCAGCACCATAACTGCTTAACCACAATTGTGAACCATCTTCTCCCTTGCATTGTCATGAAACCACGTTACTCTCTGGCTGCTTCAAAGCAGATTCCTTCCAAAGGCTCTAAATGAGGAAATGACCCATAAATAACTTTGGTTCTATACTTCTCAACAGGGTGACTAAATCTTATTCCAGATATCAACTGTTCCTTTAAAATGAAGCAAGATCTGAAAAAGATAGATCTGGCTCCTGCATTCCCCTTCCAATACCATTTTTTTATAATTTAATTTGCCACCTGACACACCTGGGGATGTCCCTAACTATATAAGTGAAGAATAACAACTGGGCTATAAAGAGATAGTTGTAAAGGATCATCCTTCCCCACCACTTTAAATGGAGAGCACAGTGTCCAAGGAAAAAGGTGCCATCTTACATTTCATAAGCTATGTTGGAAGATTGACCCTAGTTAGTGGTCTAATGTTGCCCCCCCCCCCCAAAAAAAAAGTATATTCCTGCAATCACACATGGCCAAAGACACTACATATTTTAAAAATAATGCCTCAGGCATACATGCAAGCAATACTTTCAAGATGTCTTTGCACCTGGAAGAGCAATCATCCATATTAATATGGTGATTTGCATGTAGACAAGACGAGTAGGATGTTGATTATGTACACCAATGCCATTTGTACCCATGTTATTCATTTATCTAGCAAACTGAAAACAAACTCAAGATGCAGTAATTGAGAAACAGTACACTGATATATAGTCCAATCTTAAAAGTACAATTACTTTTTATAATGTTCATTAGATTTCAGAGAACACAGTAATGCTTTAAGTATAATTGTTGCAAGATTATTATATTCAGTATCACACACTGAAGATTTTAAAAGAACTTTCTTAGAATTAATCCCCCTCTTTTCTTTTTCAGTTTTACTAACAATCAACAGCTTAAAAGGGAAAAAATCTAGACAACAATTCAAAAGATATAGAAAAATTATTTTTACTAAATCCAGACCATTTTTATTATTTTAAAGAAACTTGGGAGGCATAGCCTCTATTTTTTTTTTCATGTCAGGAGCGACTTGAGAAATTGTAAGTTGCTTCTGGTGTAAGAGAATTGGCCATCGCAAGGACATTGACCAGGGGGTGCCCAGATGTTTTGATGTTTTTCCATCCTTGTGGGATGCTTCTATCATGTCCCCGCATGGGGAGCCAGAGCTGACAGAGGGAGCTTATCTGCGCTCTCTCCAAATTTGAACCTGCAACTTGTCAGTCTTCAGTCCTGCCGGCACAAAGGTTTAACCGATTGCGCCACTGGGGGCTCCATAACCCCTAATGGATACAGCCATGCCAACAGCAAGGAGGATAGACTGTGAACAAGTTGCAAAGCACTTTGAAGATAAAATGACTCAGATATTTTCTGACTGAAATGCTACCATTAACAGAGATCTACCTCAGTTTGTATTTATGCAATGCCAATAGATATTTTTCAACTTCTACTGCCTGAGGATGTGGACAGGATCATTGGAAAATTGAGAGTCATCACATGTGAATTAGATACTTGCCATTCTTGCTTATTGAAAAGTTCACAAGTGGAATGGCTGGGTAGATAATGGAAATATGTAACTTGTTTAAAGGGGGCAGTTGTAAGATCCTTCTTTCTGGAGCCAACTCTACTGAATAATTGTCAGCTAGTTTCCAATATACCATTTGGGGTATTGGTATGTGTGCTTGCTGCCCAGTGCCATGAGGTTTCTGGATGAGATTGATTACCTGGATACATTTCAGTTTGGCCTCAGGTCCAATTATGGGGTGTACAAAGCCTTGGTCATCATGGTAGATGACTGTTGCTGGGAACTGGGCAGGGGAACTATGTGCCTATTAATTCTGCTGGGACTGTCAAAACCATTGACCGTAGTATCTTTCTGGGTTACCTCTCTGGATGGGGTTTGAAGGTACTTTTCTATAGTGCCTCTATTCCTTTCTGGAAGGGCAAACCCAGAAGATGGTACGGCAGGCTCCTTTACAACCTTTTAGCTGCTGGCTTGTAAAGTTCCTAAGGATTTGTCTTATCCTCCAGGATAAGGTTGATTAGAGTTTAAGTGTCAACATTAATGGATTGGATGAGGAAGAACAAACTAAAACTTAATATAGACAAAAGTGGTGCCCCAAGTCAGTTGAAATCTATGCTGGATGAAGTTACACTAACCCTGAAGGTGCAGGTTTGCCATTTTTCTCTTTCCCCGATTCAACCCTGAACTTGAATGCCCATGTTTCTGCAGTGGTCAGGACTGCATTTGCACAGTTAAAGTGCTCATCCCTTGAGAGATCTAACTTGCCTCAGTTGCATCCCAATTGAATTACTGTAATGTATGCTATGCAGGGCTGCTTTTGAAGTTTGTTCAAAAACATCAATTGGTCCAATGAACTATAATGATATTACTAACAGTTCCTGGTTGCAGGGAAAATGGTATTCCTCGGTTACAACAGTTACATTAGTTGCTGGTCTGTTTCTTGCCACAATTAAAATGTCTGGTTATGGCCTCTAATGCCCTCTATGGCTCAGGACCAACCTATCTGAAGGACTGCACCTCCCCATATGAATTTGCCAGAGCTTTGAAAAAAATGAGGAAAGCACATCTCTCTCTTTCCCAGCAGTTTCATGGGCACCCTTGGTGGGAACAAGAGGCAAGGCCTTCTCCGTGACTGCTCTCACATGAAGTTAGGATGGCTCCTTTCTTCTTCTTTTGTCAGTGCCAAATTAAGATCTTTTTAGTCCAGAAAACATGGTATGGAGGAAGGCAAGTGGCAGAATCTATTCTTGCCAAGCCCAGGTCTTTGATTACTGCACATGCACTAATTCTGGCTTCTTGGGAACACAAAGCTTTTACTTTGCCAGTTCTTCTCTCAGTCTAGTCAACTGCCCATCTACTGTAAAATAATGGATTCTGAGAGATTTTGAGAAATATTTTCTAAGTGAGATCTTCCAATTGGTTAGTTGGTACTAGCTGCATAGTGTGTGAAATGCCAGAGTTGGTATATGTAATATGCAGGCAAGTCTGGTGGTGTTCTGAGCAAAGAGATAATACCCAACTGTGTGCATTAAGCAAAATGTTTCTGATCACATTACACTCAGAAAAGTTCAACACTTATTCAGATGAAATGTCATAACACTAAGCAAAAATATTACAGAGATCAAATGGGAAAAGTGACTAAATTAACACCACTGCCAGAGTCATGCAACATAATCCTTAGAATTACCTGGAATCAGGATATTTAGTAAGTGTGGCCAAGCTGCTGGTATACATGTGCCCACCCACGTCAATATGTACCGGTGCATTGGATTTTGTGAGTTGTGCTGGCGTGGGAATGCCTTGATTGTTCAAAGGAGATGCAGGGGACCTAGTGATCAGAGGTCTTGACATATTGGGCCGACTGTCCTGTAAAAAGACACAAACACCATTAGGACCTTGGTTTTCCAACTTATGGGGGAAAAAACCAGTAAAATAAAACAGTGGAATTCACATTTAGGAGTAATTAAATTTAATATAACTATCACTAAAATGCAGTCTCATATACATATATGAGAGAAATTTATAGAGTTGCCACAAGTCGACAGGTGACTTGAAGGCACACACATTTAATGTGACTTAAACCACACTGCATAAAGACAAGTCTAATAAACATAATGTTGATTAGATCCATAAGGCAATATTTCCATTAAAACTAGAAACAGAACAATGTCCATAACTGGTTAAGTCACTAATATCCTAATAGAGTACATTCAAGATTTTTTAAATGTAAACGTTACCAAAGAGAGTTGGATTTTGCTGTGTCCCAGCCCCTCCTAAGCAGTTAGAAGAGTTAAATACAAACCCTCAGCTCTTCCATTCTGCCAACTCTTCTCTTGAATTTCCAATTCACATATCACGCAAACAGAAGAGGAAACACCTGGACTAGCCCACTGTTCATGTACTGTAAAACATGGGTCACCGAGAGCCTTTGAGAAAGACATTTTCCATGTAAATATTAAACAAGATGTGACAGATGCCCCTCTTGACCCAGGTAAGCTGCTATTCTGAACAGCGTTCCCAAAGAAAACTCCAAAAAGGGAGCACCGCAAGCGAATGCACTTGAAACAAAACTTCTCAGTCAAACTGGAAATGCAGTGTCAGTAACCAGCAAGGTCTAAGCCTGTGCGGAGAGTTAAGGGTGGGGCAGAGTAGAGCAGAGCAAAGCACTTTGCTGAAGCCAGCAAGGCAGACCTGTTTCAAACTTCTGGAATGTAAACAAAACAAAACCTGGCCACATCTCTAACACAATTTCACTTCCTCTTAAGAGATACACTGAACACTCTAGATGAGAAACACTGACCAAGGCTATCAAGGTCTAGGAATGAAAAGCAAGAAGTAAGATCATCCTGAATCCTCAAATGTGCTGTGTGTGTAATCTATTTAGCTGTAATAATCCTTTTCTTAAAAAGCAGTATTTAGCGCGGAAAATTTGCATCTAAAACTTAGAGTGAGGAAAGTGTGTGGTCTGCTTGGAACTATAAATTAGTACCTAGGTAGCCTTAGGCAAGTTAGTCTCTTTAACAGTACAATTTTAGGCATGCCTACTCAGAAGAAAAGCTAAATTTCACGGGGCTTACTTCCAAGTGAAAGTTTTAATGCTATGCATGCATACTTTCCACTAAACTCAAATGAGGGGTGGGAAGAGAACTTATGAATAGATATTCATACAACTATGCACACTGTTAATCTGCAGTCCCCATCTGTAAAAACAAGAACAATATTACAGAGCTTTGGGGACCAGTGAAATAAGAACTGAAAAGCACTTTTCACATAAAGGGAGTAAGTTATAAGCAAGACTCACTATAGGATTTACAGTCCTGAACAGTGGGAAAAAAGAGCACATCTTTCATCAGATTTTATTTGTGGCATGTTTTAAATTCCTAAAACCTGCACCATAAAAATGGTTTAGTACAAATGTTTTAGCGTATTTAATATACCCATAGAATTGTGGGGTATCATTCAGATTTGTGATGTTTGCTATATTTCAGTTAAAAGTTTTTGAATAATTCTTGTTTACAATTACTAGTTGCACCCAAAGATTTCAACATCTACAAAATTTGGAGAGTTGGTTTTGAAAAGCAATTAGCTACAGTGATAGTTACCCCTCCCCAAAGTAGTGTGTGTGTGTGTGTACATACACAGTATATATAATTGCTCTCTAAAGAAAAAATGTCTAAATGTAGACCATTGGCCTACAGCATAGAATGAAGTTCCTTCCCATTTGTCTTTTTGTTGCTGAAATCCACAACGTACCATAAGGGACAACACAATCCAGCACTCAAACCATATGATATTCTTCTTCTGCCATTAAGTGATGCCACATCCCAACAGGCTTCAGCCCCCCCTCCCCCCCCGAAATTCTCATGGTGGTTCGCAAAAGGCCTTACTGGTGCATTATTTAAACTGTTATGTTTATTCATATCATGATCTGATCACCATACTCAATATATCCCATATGCATGGGGGTATTGGGGTAATGATACAAAAGGTTTGCTAGGCTAGACCCTCTTTCACTCAGACTCAGCCCCCCCCCCCGAAACTCAGCCCCCCAAACCCCCCCTGAAAAAAATTTAGCCCCCCCCCCCCCCCCAAATTGAAATCCTGGCTATGGGCCTGCATCCCAATAATGATAGAATTAAATAAAATCCTATTTTATGCCACAAAAAGAAAACTTGTTTTTAAGTTACAATAATAAAAAAAACATTATTAGGGGGAAAAGAATTACATATAACTCACTATTTGTAACATGTGATTTGCAAGAATTGGTTGGAGAATCATAGAATCATAGAGTTCGAAGAATCCTTGTGGGCCATCCAGTCCAACCCTCTGCCAAGAAGCAGGAGAATCGCATTCAAAGTACCCCCCAACAGATGGCCATCCAGCCTGTTTAAAAGCCTCCAAAGAAGGAGCCTCCACCACACTCTGGGGCAGAGAGTTCCACTGCTGAATAGCTCTCACAGTTGGGAAGTTCTTCCTTAATGTTCAGATGGTATCTCCTTTCCTGTAGTTTGAAACCATTGTTTCACGTCCTAGTCTGCAGGGCAGCAGAAAACAAGCCTGCTCTCTACTCCCTACTCCATATGACTAACCCTCACATATTTATACATGGCCATCATGTCTCTCTCACCCTTCTCTTCTGCAGGCTAACCATGACCAGCTCTTTAAGCCACTCCTCATGGGACTTGTTCTCCAGACCCTTGATTATTTTAGTTGCCCTCCATTGGACACATTCCAGCTTGTCAACATCTCCCTTCAATTGTGCTGCCCAGAATTGAACAGAGTATTCCAGGTGTGGTCTCACCAAGGCAGAATAGAGGGGTAGCATAACTTCCCCGGATCTAGACATTATACTCCTATTTATGAAGCCAAAATCCTATTGGCTTTTTTAGCTGCCTCACGACAGCTAAAAAAGTTTAACTTGTTGTCCACAAGGAATCCAAGACATTTTTCACACATACCACTGTTGAGCCAGGCATAGTCCCTCATTCTGTATCTTTGCATTTCATTTTTTTCTGCCTAAGTGGAGTGTCTTGCATTTGTCCCTGTTGAACTTCATTTTGTTAGTTTTGGCCCATCTCTCTAATTTGTTAAGATCGTTTTGAATTCTGCTCCTGTCTTCTGGAATATTCGCTATCCCTCCCAATTTGGTCTCATCACAGTGGATGAGACCAAACTCAAAATTATGACTGTAATATAATTTTATCATTGAAATCATATGTAGGGGGAGCTACAGGTCCATAATACATTCAGCAGGTATCGGGTCTGGTTAATTACTTTCAAAAGCAAGCAAACAATGGATAATCAGAACTAAAACTGACAGATAACTCTACAGATAACTCTAACCCTTCTCTTTATATGAGAAGGATCAGATGTGAATGAAAAAATTAAAAACACATTTGATACTTAACATATAGATTGACAAAAAAGGAAACACTGGCTATAGGCTGCCACTGCTGCTGAAATTGAAAAATCACAAAAACAAACAAAAATGAACGTATCATTCCAAAACCTATGAATCTTTCAAAATTGTGTGCCACTTTCATCAAAATCATTATGTACCAACATCCTGAAAGTTTCTGTGTATATGTTCTCCCTCTTTGTTCCCACAGAATATTTTCTACATCTTTCTGGTATTTCAAAATGCTCTTGAAACATTATTTATTACTCTAATTTGAGTAACATTGATGTTGACATTCATGCATGTAGGTACTACAAAAATTTGCTCAGCTGTTACATGCAGTGCAAACCCAATCAAATAAACATGCAGTAAAATATACACAACAACAATGTTCATACGACTTAAAATATAACAAATCCCATTTTGCACTGGCCTTCAGTGATGCTTATATACCCAACAAAATGCCATGCCGACATGCAAATATTATCTAAAGTGTATAACTTTTGATGAATTTCATCATTGTTCCGAATCATCTCTGAAAAAAAAATCAGCTTGCTTCTGAGTAAATGGATTAAATGTTTTCATCAGAGCTGTTTGAAACTCATATTGTTTGGGCTTTCTCTTTACCAGAGATAAACATCTACCATCCAGGAAATTTCAAACCCAATTCTGGCTGGTAATTTATTTCTAGGCTGCTGCTGATTTCTGATAATCTTGAGTGCTCATATTAATTAAAACAGTTAGTGTGATAATCTTCTTTCACCAATTAATATTATTGAGTTTATGGCAGAATCAATGCAACACCACAACACCCCAACTCCTACAAGATCTACATACAAAACTGAGACATCAATATGTAATTATTGCACACAATCAATTCTGTATTTACCAGTGCAGTCTTATATACTGAGCTCAAAGGGACTTTCTTACAAATGAACAGAGTAGAAGATTTCGACCTAAAAAGATGACCACCTGTTTGTGAGGGCAGATAATCTACTCATCAAAGGGTCACTAACCTTATGATGCATTTGGAAGATGAAGAAAGAAATTGCAGGATTGTTGTAAGTCAAACAAAACACAAGGAACTAAATCATAATGGAAATATGAAATTCATTACTATCTGTTGGTTCATACAATGGAAGACTAAGTCAAGTGATTTGTGTAAACATTTCTCCAATTCTCTCCCATAACATGGAGCATTTCTTGCTACTGAGGACCCATCCAGACAGCCTCTTTAACATGGAAGTTCCTGCAACTAAAAGGGGGTCATCCATAACAATGCCAATATAAGAATTTACTTCGCTTACATGAAAAAAACCTGAATGACTACAAGGTGACATCAAAACATGACACTGATGTTTGGATATGCAAAAAAAATCTGGAAGAAATCTATATTATTTTGGAAAATTCTCTTCCCTTCCTATGTTATGTGTGATGAGACATTTACAAAAACGAGAAACAACAAAAC